TGCAGCTCCACTCGGGGATGGGGAGGTTCATGCGGGGGGGGGGGTTGGTTCGAGGCCAGGCACGAGGCTCTGGGATCCCAAAGATCCCTTAGCGTCACCGGGTTGGGAGCCCGGGGGACTGCGCGGGGACGGCCAGCATCACTGTGTATTATAATATTACATTATATACCTTTTGTATATATATTATATTATAATGTATTATTGCATGCATATTTTATATATACATGATTATTGATTATATGATATTATATTACAGCATTTGGTACCAGGACCTGCCCGTGGTGCGTGCTCGGAGCTGCACAGGGACCCCCAGCATGGGAGCTCGCCCTTGCCCCGGACCCAGACGCACCCGCCGGGGCCGCCAGCTCTCCACCAGCCGCTGCCTCCGAAACGGGAGAGCAGAGGGAGGAAAAGCTCCAAAAATACCCGAGCTGACAGGAACAAACAATTACCCAGGGAACACGTGGCTCTCCTGGCTGTCATCTACTGCCGGGGAGAAGTCCTGCTGCCACCATCTGCGGCTGACGGCCCCGAGAGGGCTGTGCTGCCCTCCCGCCCACCAACAGGTCCCCAAAGCTGGCGCAGGGGTGGCAGGTCCCAGGTTGCCACCCTTGGGCTAAATTCCACCTGAGCCCCCAGACAAGGAGCTGGGGACAGCGGCACCCCCGTGGGAGCTGGGCACCCCCACAACAGTCTGGAAGACCCAAGGTGCTTCCCAGGCTGGGGTAATCAGCCTCCTCTTGGGGGGGGTGTTGCCCAGTTGGGGAAACTGAGGCAGGAGGCAGCTGGCAGGGACCGGACTGGCAATGGCGTAAAAACCAGGCAGGGCTGTAGGCATCCCGCAACAGGCCTGTCTGTCTGTCCATCCCTCTGTCTGTCCATCCATTCACCTACCTGTCCATCCACCCACGTCCCTGTCCACCCATCTCTGTCCGTCCATCCTTTGACCACCCACCCACTCACCTGTCTCTCCATCCACCCCCCTCCCTCCACCCGTCCATCCCTCCA